GGGGTCCAATGTTGCCCTTGCTTTTCCTTTGGCTCCCCACATATCTAAAAAGGACTTTTTATTGTCCTTGATACTTGTAGCTAGTTGGAATTCAGTTGCAGCCTTGGCTTTCCTGGTTTGCTCCCTGCAGGACTGGACCAGTGCGGAATATTCCTCCTTGGAGGTGGATCCCATCCTCCATCCTTTGTAGGCCTTTCTTTTTAGCCTCAGGAGGTCCGCTAGTTCTCTGGAGAGCCAATGGGGCTGCTGTGCTCTTTTGCTGCCTTTCCTCCAAGATGGAATAGCATTAGCTTGTGCATCGAGGATCGTTCCCTTGAGGAGCAACCACTCTTTCTGAACTCCCCTCCCCTTGGTGTTGTGGTCCCTTAGGGCCTCACCGACAAGCCTCCTGAGCTTGTCAAAGTCAGCTTTCCTGAAGTCAAGGACTTCTGTATTACTGACTGACTTGCCAGCTTTATGGCAGATGGTGAAGGTGATCAGCTTGTGGTTGCTGTCACCGAGCTTCCTTTCAATTATTTGGTCACTGATTAGGTTGTCCCTGGTTGCCAGTACCAGGTCGAGCAGTTCTTTACCTCTCATTGGCCCGTAGACCTCTTGTGTCAGATAGAGGTCATCCACGCACGAGAGGAAGCTTTGTGACCGCTCTGATTTAGCTGAGTGCTCCTCCCACGAGATGTCTGGGTAGTTGAAGTCACCCATGACAACCATGGACCTGGAGCATGCAGCCTCAGCCAATTCCCTGGTGAACTCCTGGTCAAGCTCTTGACTTTCGGTGGGAGGTCTGTAGTAGACTCCCACCGTCGTGTCCCCTGTGCCATGTTCCCATGGATTTTAACCCAGAGGATCTCCAGCCATCCACCCTACTCGCCAATGTCAGCTTGCAGGGATGTGTAGCTCTCCTTGACATAGAGAGCTACCCCCCTGCCCCTTTTGTCTACTTGATCCTTCCTGTACAGGATATAGCCGTCTATACCCGTGGTCCAGTCATGGGTGGAGTCCCACCAGGTCTCCGGTATCCCTATGACATAGTAATTATTTGTGTTTAAGCAGGAGGACAAGTTCCTCCTGTTTATTCCCCAAGCTCTTGGGGGAAGGCAATTGTCCCCTTGGCGGCCCTTGCCTTGCCTACTGGTTGTTCCAGGGCTGGGGCAGGGGTGGGATCCCTTAAGTGCCTTGGCTTGCTGGCTTTGCAAGGGTTGCTCAGCGGGCCAGCAGTGGCGATAGTCCCCCCGTCCCCTGGTGGAGTTTAGGGATCTTCTCCGCATTGTCTCAGATGTGGGTTCCTGGGAAGCAGGAGACTTCTCGGGCTAAGGGATCGGGGCGGCAGATTGCCACTCAGTCCCCTTCAGGATAGAGTCTCCCACAACAAACACTATTCGTTTTGTCTTGGGGAGAATGGGGGCGGTAGCTACAGTAGTGCCTGTGTTGTCTGCGGGAGCTGGCAGCTTGGCAGGCTCTGCTGGGGCTGCAAGAGGTTCGTACCTGTTGCTGAGCTCCAGCGGGGCAGGGGCCTTGGTGCGGCAGGCCTTGGGGCCCTTGACCACCTTGGTCCAACCGCTGGGCTGGACAGTAAGGGAGGTCCCCGAGTCCTCCCTTGTCCCAGTGGGAGACTGTGGTCTACCCTCTGTCTCCTGGGGGAGAAGGGCCTGGCAGTAGGAGTCTATCTCCTGCTCACAGTCCCTGATAGCACGCAGTCTCTGGACTGTGGCCTGGAGCTCCTCCAGCTGGCACGCCAGAGACCCCAGTAGGGAGCAGACCTCACAAAGAGAGGTAGCCATGCTCTCGGGCCCCAGACCCTGAAAAAGCGACAGGCAGCCCCCGCAGCCGAGAGCCTGGGGCTCTGTCCATGTGGAGCCTGGAACCAGGGGCTCCGTCTGGGTGGAGGCCTCTGAGGAGCCGGGGGGGCTGCAGACCCCGAGGGGACCTGAGGGGTATGTCATGTGTCTATCCGTGTCATGCCACTGATGGGCCAGCTGCTGCTGGGAATGCCTACCCTGGGGGGCTCACAGGCAAGGCCTTGGGCCCTCTCGCTCGCCCTCCTGCGCGAACTCATGCACTAACTCATGAGCCGGGCAGACAAGCATGCCTGTTTGTGCGGTCTCTTCGCGCGGCTCCCTGGGGGGCTGGGCCAAGTAGGGGTCAGGGTGGGGCAAGACCCCCCTCAGCTCCAGCTTAGCCACCTCCCTGTGGCTAGGCTGGGGCTAGTCCCTCCCACCACGGCCCCGCTTCCCTCCGACTGCAGCTGGGGGTCGGCGGGGGCGCTCCATGGCAGTTGGGGGTCGCTGAGGGGCTTCGGGGAGTGGGGGCGCAGAGGACTTGCACCCGCGTGTCTCGTGCCGCTCCCGGAGCCTGTCTGGGGTATTCTTTTCCCAAATTGAGTCAGCCCAAACTCAGTTTAGGAGCTTTTATAGCCGAAGTTGGTAGTGGGTTTTTTTACTCTTTCAGATTTGATACAACGTGGAGTGAAGAGAATCTGCAATTTCTTTTATTTTTTTATTTAAGAAAAGGTTATTAATAAAAAATTTCAAAAAATCCTGCACATTTTGGAAGCTCTCCTGATACTATTTTACCCCATAATCAAAAGATGTGTTTATATTAAACAATAAATACATATTTTTCAACTACTAATGGATATTCAAATCAATTTTGCAAAGTAGAACAATGGAGATTTCTAAAATGAGCAAACTTGAATGTCCAGTCTGCGCTTAGCACAACGTGCACTCTGGTTATAGTTCAAACTTACCCCTTCCCTGTGGTATGCCTTTATTTTTAATACAAATAAGGACAGAACACTCTTTAGTTAACCCTTTTTCTTGAGAATGGCTGGCTCTAATGTTTCTCCTTGTGGAATCTTCCCTCTCTTCATATAGTTCACATGTAAAACCCCCTGAGACTATTAAGTAGGGAAGACTAAGCTAAATGGACTTATCTTTTCTGAGTCAGCAAAACTATTCTGCACCTTGGTGCAGGATTCTAACAGCTAATATGCTGTTTATTTAATTTAAATTTAAAGGAAAAGAAAACATTGTAATAATAATGATAGTAGCTACTTTTCATATTGGTTTACCTTCTAATAATAGCAGTTTAGGCGCACTCCCTGCAGTAAATGGGACTTCTGAGAACCACAGTTCTGTTTGTTTTGGTTGCTAATGGAGTTTGTTGGAATCTAATATTACTATTGGCATCTGTAAGGATTATCACTTTTAGCAGTGACATTTTATTAGGTAATAACACGTGCATTCCTTGTATGTCACTTAGCAGGGTGAAAAGTTCACAACATTAAATGAAAAATGTGTGCATGGAAGCTGTTAATTAAATAATGTTTGTGGAAAAGCGGCTTTTATATTCAGTGATGCATTTTGTTAACAATATATACTTTATTAAAGAAAAGAAAAACACATAAACTGATGAAAAGTCAGACTTTGAAGAAGTAAAGCAGAGACCTTCTTAGCTGCTTATTAATGCAGAATCTTCAGTAAGATGACTGGAACAGAATCTTACTGCAAAGTATAAAAGCATCAGGAGGATCTAAGAAAGTGCCATTTCAAAATCCAGAGAGAGAGGGTGCACATTCAAAGCTTAGCTTTCAGTCCAGTCTCAACTGGATCTGTATTTAATATCTGTAAATAGTAGGCACAACCTTATGCCAACATTTATCTGTATTTAAATTGGGCATCTCATGCTCTAATTTGTAGGTGTCATCAGGCTGTCCAGGTAACCAAAATTGCACTGGTATGCATTTTTTCTTTCCATTTGCAGGATTAAAAATAGAAGCCATTTCTGAATATTTGACTCTTAAAATGCGGTCTGCAATTTTGGGGGAAATGAGAGGGTACTGTTTAAAATGTTGTCAGAAGTGTCAAATTCTAAAATTTGGTGGAAGTTAAAACGATAAAGAATGACAGAATGATGATAGTGGTAAAAGCCTGTGCCCTCATTGAAACAACTAACAAAGTTTCCATCTCTGATTTAGTGTTTCAGAATGGCAGAGACTCATGTGTTGATGGAGAGGCTGGAAAAAGCTGTTATTCGACTGGAATCACTATTTTCAGATTCACACAGGTCTGCAGCAGTGGAGTATGAAGCTGTCAATGGAGTCAGTGGAGGTATGTGTTGTTCTTTTATGAATTTTTGGGAGTGCTAGATACAGAGCTTGTAAGAGCAGCATGTGTTATGTTCAATGAGAGAGAACAAGCCCTTATGGAGCTGTGAGTTAACAAAGAGCAGTTTCTTTCAAGACTTCTGGAAAATTTCCTGGGATAATCATAATCATAAATTAGTATCCTAGACCAGGGGTGTCAAAATTCCTTGGTCCCCCAGGCCAGATCTAAACTGCAGGGCTACTTGCAGGCTGGATCCGGACCCACTCAGGTGGTGGGGTGAGTAGTGATGACATTAACCACTGTGACTGAAGGCTGTTTACAAAGGAGATGGAGCCAGATGGTTCTCAGTGGTGGCAGATGACAGAACAAGGAGCAGTGGTCTCAAGTTGTAGCAAGGGAAATATTAGAAAGACAGGTTAGATATTAGGAAAAACTTTCTCACTAGGAGAGTAGTAAAGCAAGGCAACAGGCTATCCAGAGAGTTTGCAGAATATCCATCGTTAGAGGTTTTTAAGTCACAGGTAGACAAAACCTTGGCTGGGATGATATAGTTGGGGACAGTCCTGCTTTGAGTGGGGTTGGGTTAGATTATCTCCTGAGGTCCCTTCCAATCCTAATTTTCTATGATTCTACCACTTCCCAACCTGAAACAATTGGTGCACCCATCACTTGCCCCTCCACTGACAACAGGCATCCCCAACAAGGCTCCATACACAGGAATTTGGTTGTAGGCCCACCTCTTCTCACCCCACCTGCAAGTTCCTGGTCCCTTCAGGAGTCCTATGGGCCACCTGATATGATTCTGTATGTTGGGTCTGGCCTGTGAACCTTATCTTTGAAATCTCTGCCCTAAATATAATCCTTATTTCAAAGCTTCCCTGCTCTTTCCATATTACTGTTGATATTATTGTAGAGGTTTCATGCGTTGCAAATGCCTGCTAGCTCTAACTAGCAGAGGTAATGAGCATTCCTGAAAAGCCAGAATACAAATTTTGCTGAATAGATTGGCAATTCAGAAATGTAGAGCCCCCTCCCCCCCCAGCTTCCTTGATTTCACTGCATAGTCACTGCATTTAATTGCCTGATCAATTAAAACTTATCTGAGCTCATTCATAATCATTTTGTTGCGAAGTGCTGCCATTTCAGTTTTGGTTTTAATGCAGATTGTCTTTTGTGCTCCACCCACAGAAGTACATCTACAAAGTGCAACTCGTAAGAACAGAGAAAGAAAGCTAGTATCAGAACCTACTTACATGTGTTCCCCACACCACAGGGCCAAACCATACTTAGTCATACGCTGTATAACTGAATTTAGAATTTTACTTGTTCCTGAATGTATAAACTAAATTGCCTGAATACGTAGTCAGGCAAGAACATTTAACCCACACACAAACTGGAATAAAAATTACTACTAAATATTATATATTTTCAAAACAGGCCCTAATCCTGGAATGGGAAGGATACTACAATTTCCAATGATATGTCTCATTTTGGTCCATTGCTTTGTATATGGTAGCTTGAGCACAGCTATGTATCCCTATACTATTATGTTTCTGGGTAGGTTTTCTTTCCAATTTTAAGCAGTTTTAATGGCTTACCAATTACATCATTGTTACAAGAAGGATGCATTTTTCCCTCTCCTGCCTCACTTAGAACAGGAGCTCATTACCAGGTTGCTGTTATTAAAATTACTACCAGATTTATTTGATTCTAGGATGAGGTTTTTTTCCTCCATTTAATGTAGGAAAGAAAACCCTTTTACCCATCTCCCCTCCTCATGCAGCTTCTGCTCCCTTGCCTCCCTCTCCCTCCCTCACTTTACTCCTTGCTGGCAGGTTGCATCCACACTGCAGCCTTGGACACCGAGTACAGTCCCAGCCCAGCAGCAGTGCACAGCCTGTACAGCTACTCCAGGAGCTGACCTGTGGGAATGCTCAGTGCCCCTGGCCAGAATGGGGACAGAGGCTGCTGACATGGAGCAAGTGTAAGGGAAGGAGTGGGGAGCAGAGACTGAGGAGGGGGAGGAAAGCCTGGGGAGGGAAGGGGAGGAAATGGAGTAGAGGCAGAGGGGGAAGGGGAATGGGGGCCCAAGGCTGTGAGGGGGCAGGCAGGAGGCAGAGGTGGCAGGAGGGAGGACACAAGCAGGGGGCAAGCTATTTGATCTCCCCACACCACCTACCCCCCTACTGCCTGCCTCCTGCAATGGTGGGGAGGATGAATTAAAGATGACTCTCCAATAATTAGATTCTATACATGGGGAATTATAACAAATTTATACATTTTCCATGTATAGAACCTAACAATTGGTGGGTCATCTTAAATTCAGGGTCATCTTAGAATTGAGTAAATTTGGTATTTAGTTATATTTCCTGCTCTTGAAATTCCCTGAGGGTTTAGGCAGAAATAGAAATATGTTGCTCTCTTCCATATTAATGATTCAAAGAATTTATAAATTACTTACTTTAGAATGTGCAAGGGGCTCATTCTGGGCTCACTTGTATCTTTCTGATTTATACTGTTAGCATGCAGGGCAACACAGTGGGGAGAGAATAGTACCCATTTTATTTCTGAAGATTATAGTGGCAGGATTGCAGACAAATCAAAGAGTTGTTAAATTACAGCAAGGGCCCTAGAAATGTTAGGTCAGGGGTTCTCAAACTTTTGCTCCCAAAGGGACAATTCTGGGTGGCAAGCCACATGAAAAGGGGTTGTAGGCCACGCTTGGTCTGCAGGTCACACTTTGGGAACCCCTGCTCTAGTTTATATTCTCATAATTCAACAGAATTGATTCTTAAAAATAGGCCTAGCTATGTTCTGTTTTTGTGTGTTGTTAGTGCAGCTGGTGTATTCTGTTTGAGTCTGTGCTGCAGAGGAAAGGCTAAAACAAGTGTCTTTGAGGCTGGCACAGATTTGACAAAGAACACTGAACTGGCTTTGGAAAACATTTCTTTCCCCACCATTGAAAACTTTGTATCATAGGACATACAAAGGCCTTGCGAATTAACGTTTTAAATGGATGAAAGCACCAAAATTCCTTAGAATATAAGGTGAAAAAAAAAAAGTAACATAAGGAGAGCAAGACAAATTTGACATCCCCTCAAGCAGCCTAACCACAATACGTTTTGTACAGGCAGTTCTGAATTCTGATGGCTTAAGCCTGTAGTTTTTGTCAAAGGGCCAAAATGCTGCTACTGCTAAACAAGCCTTCATGGTTATGGATCTGGGATCTCTAGTCACCCAGGTTCACAAAGGCCATGGATGGCTTAAATTAACACATGCTGGATCAGGGCCATCGAGAGGTATGAGGACATGTCAAGGAGGACTGGAAATCCGCCTGGAAAAGATTATTTCTCTCCCTTAGTTGATATGTAAAGCCACGCAGAAAACCAGTTGGATATAAAAAAGTGCCTCTCATATCTTTTTTTCAGTTGTCCAGATGATTCAAGTCAGCCTTAGAAGACAGTGTAGTATACTCTTTATTGTAAATGGCATTCCTACTTCTGTGGTGTACTTAGGTATATATACTAATCAAGATGAATAATTTAGTGGCACTGTCCTTTTTTCCCAAATGACTGAATGAAATTTTATCATTATTAGAATTTACAGTTTGGCCAACAAAGATGAGAAAACAAGAAAACACCGAGCTTCAAAGTTTAAACTGATCAGAAAGTAACTAACCATTCCCATCCTATCATAGAATTGCACTATTGCCAAAGTAAAGCTCCATGGCTTGCTATTTGTTAACATCTACCAACCAAAGCTCCAGGAACAGGTAGGATGACTAAACATAGCAGTTATTCATTACAGATTATAGTTTCATAGTAGGTAGGGTTGGAAGGGACCTAAGTAGATCGTCAAGTCTGACCCCCTGCCATGGGCAGGAAAGAATGCTGGGGTCAAATGACCCTGGCTAGGTGATTATCCAGCCTCCTTTTGAAGACCCCCCAGGGTAGAAGCGAGCACCACTTCCCTTGAAAGTTGGTTCCAGCTCCTAGCCACCCTGACTATGAAGTAGTGCCTCCTGATATCTAGCGTGAATCTACTCTTGGTCAACTTATGGCCGTTATTCCTCGTTACTCCTGGTAGTGCTCAGGGGAACAGGGACTCTCCCATAGCCTGCTGGTCCCCCTTAGCCAGTTTGTAGATGGCACCAGATCCCCTCTCAGCCTTCTCTTGTGGATGCTGAACAGGTTCAGGTCCCATGGCCTCTGCTTATAGGGCCTGCCTTGCTGCCCCCTGATCATGTGAGTGGCCCTCCTCTGGACCCTCTCAATGCTGTCCACATCCCTCCTGAAGTGTGGCGCCCAGAACTGGACGCAGTACTCCAAATGTGGGCTGACTAGTGTCTCATAGAGGGGGAGGATCACCTCCTTGGACCTGCTTGAGATGCATCTGTGGATGCATGACAAGGTGCAGCTAGCCTTCCTGACCGCGTGCCTACATTGGCGGCCCATGTTCATTTTGGAATCGGTGATGACACCAAGATCCTTTTCTGCCTCTGCACTGACGAGAAGGGAGTTCCCCAGCCTGTAGGTCTGCTGCAGGTTCTTCGTCCCCAGGTGCAGCACCTTGCACTTGTCAGTATTGAATTCCATCCTATTCTCATCCGCCCACCCCTGTAACCTGTCCAGATCTAGTTGCAGCCTGTCCCTCTCCTCCAGCATGCCCACCTCTCCCCACATTTTAGTGTCATCCGTGAATTTGAACAAGGTGCTTTTCACCCCCTCGTCCAACTCGCTGATGAAGATGTTGAACAGTGCAGGCCCGAGGACCGAGCCCTGGGGGACCCCACTGTCCACATCCCTCCAGGTCAAAAAAGACCCGTCCACCACCACTCTCTGGGTGCGGCCCTCCAGCCAATTTGTGACCCATCTGACTGTGTAGGCATTGACGCCACAGTCATCTAATTTCTTAATGAGAATGGGGTGAGAGACAGTGTCGAAGACTTTCCTAAAGTCCAGAAAGACTACATCCATTGCGACACCTTCGTCTAAGGATTTTGTGACCTGGTCGTAGAAGGTCACCAGGTTGATCTGACAGGACCTGCCTCGAATGAACCCATGTTGGTTGCCCCTAAGCATAATCTCCCCTGCTGGTCCCTTGCAGATGTGCTCTTGGATAATTTTCTTAAAGAGCTTCCCCAGGACTGAGGTAAAACTAACAGGACTGTAGTTTCCTGGGTCCTCCTTCCTCCCTTTTTTGAAAATGGGGACCACACTGGCCCTTTTCCAGTCCTCCGACACCTGGCCAGAGCACCACGAGTGCTCATAAAGCTGTGCCAGGGGTCCCACAATGACCTCTGCTAATTCCTTCAGCACTCTGGGGTGGAGATCATCAGGACCTGCTGATTTGAACACGTCTAGACCCACCAGAAGTTCTCTGACTAGGTCCTCACTGACCCTGGGCCTGGCAGTGCCTCCCCTGGGTCCATCGGGGATCCCAGTGTGGGGGATGCCCCTGTCCCTTGTCAAAAAGATGGAGGCAAAGAAATTGTTAAAGAGATTAGCTTTGTTGTCTGGTGTGACCACCAGATTTCCTAGCGTATCCTGCAGAGGCCCTATGTTACCCGGTACCTTCTTTTTACCCCCTATGTATTTCAAAAAGGACTTCTTGTTGTCTTTGATCTGGGTCGCTAATCCCAGTTCCATCTCTGCCTTAGTCTTCCTAACAGACCCCCTAAAGATAAAGATTATTTTTATAAGGATCTCATTTATTTTATGTACATTAATAGCACTTCGTTAATAAAAAGATCTAAACTATGTTTATCATGCAAGTATTGGAGAGTGTTTATTTTTGGCACCAGTTATCTTAGAACAGAAGAGGATAGCCACATACAATATACAGTTAACATACAGTTAATCTTCACACTGCTTGCTTGATTCTGCTTGCAGCTTTATTGTATCTGTTGTTCTGGAAATTCCCATTATTTGTTCGTTTTCACTGATTTTACAAATTAGTGGGGACTGAAATATATTAAATTTAATCATTTTTCCCTCATCTCTGCAATATCTTTCCCTTAGACTGCAAAGGACAGTGCTATAAATTACAACCTTTTATGAACCAACTATAATGAAATGCTCTCTGTCATAGGTGTAGCACCATATGTTGAAGCCTTTGATAGACTGTTGAATGGGAGTGTGGCTGAATTTCTCAGGAATAGCAGGACTCTAGAAGGTGATGTGAAGACACATGTGAGTATATCTACCTATTTTCACTCCTCCAGTATAATTGTAGCTGTCTCAAAATACCTTTGGGTCTTCTATACCTGCCTTAATTGTGCAGGAGCGGAATCTTTGCAGCTGTTTTACCTTTCCAGTAGCATGGCAGCAATGCTTGAAGGCCTCAGTCAAATGTAGCTACAGAGCACTAGTAGTACTGGCTGCATGAACACATAGAATGATGAAGTCTGTCCTTCAGAAGACTTAAGGCCCTTCTGCTGCTGAAACTCATGGAGACTCTAAACAGTGAACAGTGCAAATAGTCCATTCTGGCATCAAATTGAACACACGTGTACACTTTGGCTTAATTAAAGACAACTTTTGACAAGTAGGAGATCATCAGAAAGGTAACAGGATAACAGTAAAATCATGGAGTTACACAGAGCATTAATTTGCACAATCTGGTTTAAAATAATTTATAGGGTTTTATTATTATTTTTGAAAATTTGTATCCTTGCATATTTTTATTTTTATAACTCATGACCTATCTTACTTGAAATTCATTTATGAAGCTAGTTGTCATCTATTTCTCTGTCTCTTGTTCTCCTATTTTTTATTCCTCCCCCTTTTTTTCTTTCTTGCAATAAATCTTGCAATGAGGAATTTTTTATAAAGTTGAAGTCAGTTCAGAGTAAATGAAGCCACTCTATAGAGTGACACCTCTATACTATCTTACCTTCAGGATGCTTTTGTTTAAACTTACCTTTTTAACATTATTTTTTTGAGGTAGAGGGGCAAAGGGTAAATCCATCTGAAAATACCTGACATTGTATTGCAGTGCCATAAAGCTATGTGCAGATAGGAGGCTCATCTCGCAGAATTAGTAAGCTGGTCTCCAGTAAATAGGATTTGAATTGAAGGAGTCTCAGGATTTTCACACATCTCAATAAGTCTATGTGATCTTGCCTTTTCCTCATATGCATTAATTAATCACAGCTGCTCTTCCATATTCCTAAACCCTGCAGACAGAAATGCGTGCACTCAGGCTGCAAAGACAGGGTGCATGTTTTATCTGCTTGTGTGTCCGAGCACATTACATCTAAAATGCACTAAGACAGTCTGCTCAAGGGAAAGGAGTTCTGAGGTTGTCCTTCCAGCCATGTTTCCTATATAATTTTAGACATAATGGTCCAAAAAGTAAGAGGTTCTCAGTCAGAGACATAGAAAATTAGAGGGAACCAGGAGGGCAGGGAAATTCAGAGTCTGAGTATTTTTAAGAAATACTTCAGGGCCTTTCTCTTTGGAAAAACCTTTCCACCATAACGACAACACTCACAACACAATGATTAGCTCTACCCTTAAACCTCTGCCTGCCAAAGAAAAGTACGTGTATGGAGGGAATTGATAATCTGGAAAATAATCAAAACCAAAAACCTATTCCATTACAGGCTTGATCATGAAAAGGGAAGAATGCTGGTGAGTGATTTTAATGCTGTGGTGATGCACAGCAATATAAAACTTACCTAAGTTAGATGGCTTTAGGACATAGGAACAGTTTACCACAGGGTGGGTCAAAAGAGATGGGGCTCTACTGCACATCAGCTGGTTTATGGTGACTGCCTGTGTGCCCACAGCAAGTGAAAACTAAATCACAGTACTGTAATCCTCCATGAAAGGAAGCCTCTTCAGCATTGCTTAAAGATGGTCAAATGTAGTATTGCATCAGACCAAACAAATGAACAAACCAAAAAATCCACTAGTGTTGTCAACTAAATCTCTTCTACAGAACTGCAAATCTAGTCATTGGGTGCAGCTGAATGATTAAGTCTGCCCTGTTCTGGTTACCATTTGACATAGACAATTTGGTTCAGTTGAAATACTTAAATGTAAATGGATTTAATTTCCCTGAGTGCTAGCATTGTATGGATGCCACTATAATAAATAAATAAAAAGAAATAATGGCTATTTCTTCAGAAGCAAAGGATGATACATTAGCAAGTTTCCATTGTGTAAAGAAATTAGTGATTACATTTACTCTCTATTAAGTTATTCTGAAATTTTAGAATCTAAATTTACAACATGCCACACAGGCCATGGTCGCCTTATGCTTCTGCTTAGTGCTGCAATAACATCTGTGCTTTACCTTAACAAGTAGAACAAGGGGTGTTTTTCTTCTGGGTGTCTTATAGACCATGTGTCTTAAGCATTATGCCTGCAGCTGCTGTCTCTTTCACATAATGAGCTGAAGGGAAGGTTGTATTTTGTTTCAAAAAACACCTGTTGCCTGGAAAACCTCACATACCTGATTGATCAGAACAGTAATATGAGAGAGTAGGGACTTTATAGTACACTAAATAAATAAGGGATTTAACTCAAGGCTTTTCATGTTGGTTGCTGTAAGAATTGTATGGTTTGTGTTCCTGATGAAAAGAAGAGTGCAGCCACAGCTAATGCCTGCTGCAGTGTGTTGTTTCTTAGCTTGCTGCATGCTAAGTAGTCTATTGAAAGGAAACAAAATGAAAGAGAAATGATAGCTAGCTTCAGCAAGCTCTGCTAAACACAACAACACAGTGGATTTTTTTAAAGCTTAGTCCGTTAAAGATGAGTTCTGCATATACTTAGTCCAAATAATAAAGGAGTTTCTGATTCAAATTATAGCACATCCACTTCTGAATCACAGTAGCCCACTGAATGCAAGTATTTAACTACATTGAAAGACGAGAGAGAGAGGCTAAGATTTTTATGTTGCTGATTTAAAACATACCCTTTTAAACACTAAAGGCTAGATCTTCTGCCCTGTTTTGTTGCTGTGGTAATGCAGATGGGCCACAAGCTGGTTTAACTGGCTATTTGAATATTACTCTGGCACAGGAGAGTCTCTAAGTCAGAGCTTTCCAAACTTTTCATGTTGGTGACACACTTTTTAGACATGCATCATTTCGCGACACAGTAATTCAGTTCCGGGGGAGGGGCCAAGGGAAGCAGACGCGAGTAAGGGAGCTCCGCAGTGCCCTTCCGCAAAATTTTCTGCATTTCGTGCGACATACCTACACACTGCCGCCGACACACTAATGTGTCGCGGCACACAGTTTGGAAAGCTCTGCTCTAAGTAGTGCAGAGACTATAGAGCAGGTTGTATACATCCCCATACAGAGGTCCTGAGTGTATGTGTATGTCTTGAATCCAGTAGAGGAGTGTGAGCAGAGCTGGTTGACACAAGAGACGGTGGACAAGCAATTTGTTCCCCTGTTCAGTATGTGTAAAATGGGGTGTCACAACCCAAGGGTGTGATTTTGTTTGTGCATGCTTCGGCACTGCTAAATTATTTCCCGCCACTAGGAGTTGGCTTGCTAGCCGTATAAGAGGCTTGAGCAGTTTCCGCCCAAGTTGGAGGACTCCACAACCATCAGGAGAAGGAGAACTTCACGTCTCGTGAAGATCTCTAAGCGCTGCGGAGCCTAACGGACCCAGTGTGTACCTTGAGAAGGCTATAGGGGTCTGATCAACCTCTGGCCTCTCCCCGTCGCCGAATGATCCCTCGACGAACCCCTTCCCTGCGCGCAAGTTCCACGGAGCCTAGCAAACTTCGTGTGAGTGTATCCAGAGCTCTTTTCTCCGAGTTGTTTTCTTCGGTTGACACGATGGGCTCGCATGTTTAGAGCCTTCAACTGGATTGGGCTAGAGGTTCGCGTGGAAGGAACTCTTGTCCGCCTTTCTTCTTTCCTGTCTGTAACTGCAACTCAAGCAAGTTTTCCTGCCTGCACCGCGATCATCTTCAGTGTAAGTAAAATAATCTTTAATCAACCGCTAAGCGTCCGTGCCTAATTCTAGTCCACCGGCCTGCATTTCCCGACCTGCGTGCCAGGGCTGCTGGCCACAGCCCACCGTGCGCCCCCGAGAACCTCGGACCGCTCCCGGCCCGCACATGGGGATGCCAGCATTCCCTCAGACAGTTTGTCTATGCAGATTTTAACTGTTTGGAGTATGGACTTTCATTTACAATGTATATGGACCATGCTTAGCACAAAGCAAATTCAATTGCAGGCTCTTGAGCTTCTTAATTAAAATGAAGGAAGGAGAGTTTCCTAATTTCTTCCAAGTAGTAACTACTGAAAACACAATAGATAATAAAATGTGTGTCTTGAGTAGATCTTGGTTATTAAAATATATGAAACTCCCTATAGACGAATTATCCTGTATTTTATAGGGGGTATGTAGAAGAGACAGTGGACTTTCATAGCCATGAATTTTCAACAGTCCTTTCTGGGTTGTACCAAAAACACAGCTACAATTTATATTGCCTAATTTAACAATAGACTGTCAAACTTGTTATATGGCTGATTCCTCATTTATAATGTAATGTGCTTACAGGTTGACAAAATGCAGAAATGTCCTCTTATGTTGATCCTGCTGTGCTCAGAGTCTTTGTAGTTTCAGGCTCTGTGCTAAAAGTTTGAGTCAGGGCTCAAAGCACTGCAGTGGGTGATGTAAATGGGTCCAATGAGAAACATGCATAGGGCTGTCTGCGTTTCCAGGGTGAAGTATTTCTGCTGGTTGAAAGTAAGCACTGTACTAAGTAGTTTTCAGGATACTGGAAAAAAAGAATAAAAGAAAAAAAAAACCCACACACAACTTAATCCAGTGCTCCTCCCTTCATGTGCGCATATAAGCATGAATATTTTGTACATTGTAAAAATATTTTTTAAAATAAGAGAGCAAATGCCAAACCTATTTTTAATGCCACATTAGCGGGGGTGTGGAGGTGGGGTGGAAATCTCATGATTTAAAAAAAAGAAAAGAAATTTCTCATGGTTAAAGTTGCTTTAGTAATCCTAACTCAGCCACATTGCACATTTCATACTGGTGCCATGAAATGCAAATGCAGTAAAACACTATCTTCACAAATTTCCTTATTTATGATCGATGTAGACTGACTCCCCTCTGAAGTCACTGTGGATTGATTGCAGTGGGAATTTATTTGGGTTCTTTGTTTCTTACCATTGATGTTGCAATATTATGAAGTATTTTTCTCCTTATTTTCTCCCTCTCTCTCTTTTCCAACTTCCTGTGTTTTTTAAAAGAAAATAAAAGTCTTGGTATCACTTAAAATCTGAGGAAATGGATGTCTGTGGGCATGTCTACATGAGACACTGACTGCACAGTAGCTGAATAATAGTGTGCAGTAGCATGTCACAGCACAGACAGTGCTAATACGCTACTGTGCAGATTTATTAGGCTACTGCGCAGTAACGTCACTTAAAAAATGTTTGCTGGCGCTACTGCGCAGTAACTCCAGTTACTGCATATTTATTTAGTACTTGTATAAGCAAGTACTAAATAAATGCTCAGTAACCGGAGTTACTGCACAGTAGCTTCAGCAAACATCTTTTACGTGACAAGTGCTAAATAAACATGCAGTAACCACTGCTCAGTAGTGTCTTGTGTAGACATGTGCAGTGTGTACTGGACATTTAGCTGAGTATTGTTGACCCCAGAAATGTGCATCTGTACACTAAGGGGGGAAAAACTTGTTAGGATGCTTCAGAGGATATTTTCTATTAAAAACTGAAAACCAGAAACAATTAAACCTGTCAACAAATCTATACAACCTGTTTCTAGGGCTTTTGTAGCTATGTAGTTGTAGAATAACCGGGGCTACATACAGAGTTCTAGAACAGTGTTTCTCAACCGTTTAAGTAGCAAGTACCCCCTAACTTCTGAAAATTTGAACAAGTACCCTGACACTCAATTTTCCAGGGGATTTTATATTTATAGACTAATGTGTGCCATATGTTGGAAGAAGGGCTGTGTATATAAGGCCGTGATATGACAGATGTCTAATCTGGTGTGGGTAGGGTTGCCACCTTTTACACCAGGGATGCACAACTCAGGTATGTACCTGGGTAGAGGTGATGTAGGCCAAAGATAGGAGGGATGAGCCTCTAGGATGGCACACCAAATTATTACTGGGGAATTTAATTTTTTTTAATTACACCAAATTTGTTGCCATAGTTTTGAGAGGAGGAAGGGGCAAGAGAGAGAGAGGAAAAGAGGGCAAAAGAGATAGTGTTGGGGTACCTGCGTACCCCCTGCCTGTGTCTCGCGTACCCCCAGGGGTACACATACCACAGATTGAAAAACTATGTTCTAGAATATGAGTGTCCACGCATAGGATTAATCAGGACCAATTTAGGGTGCAGAAAAATCCTACTAGGCTCTGACTCTGTATATCCAATTCACACTTTCTAAACATGTGAACAGCCACACTGAAGCCTGTGGGACTATTTGTGGGAAGCAGCAAAATTAAATCTATGCATAAACATGAGCAGGATTTGTACTTTAGATTGTAAACCTTACCACGTAGAGATCATGTCTGTTTCTCTGTTGGTAACATAAGAAAGGATGCTGGCAAATGCTTTGCAAATCTCAGTGCAAAGGTGTGCACTTGGGACAGAATAACTGCATGCCCAAATACAGATTAGGGAATGACTGGCTAGGCTGCAGTACTGTAGAGAAGGATCTGGGAGTTACAGAAGACTATAAGATGAATATGAGACAACAGTGTGCTCTTGTTGCAAAAGAGGCCAATGGTATACTGGTGTGTATTAACAGGAGTGTCATTTGTAAATAGGGGAATGTGATTCTTTTACTCCATTCAGCACTGGTGAGTCTTCACTTGGAGTAATATGTCTATTTTTGGGCCCCACGCTTCAAAAAGGATGTGGACAGATTGGAGAGAGTCCAATAAATAGCAAGAAAAATTAATAGAGGCATGAAAAGCATGACTTTTATGAGGAAAGGCTGAAAAAGCTAGGGTTATTATGTAGCCTGGAGAACAGAAGGCTGAAGTGGGGATTTGATAACAGCCTTTAAATACCTGGAGGGTGATTTATGGAGAGGATAGATTCATAGATTCATAGATGTTAGGGTCGGAAGGGACCTCAATAGATCATCGAGTCCGACCCCCTGCATA